GCTATCAAGACCTCAAATTGCAAGAAAAAGAAAAATAGAGAGAAAAATAACAAGGTACTCTAAGACCTGAGATGGAAAGAAGACACTTATAGGTTCGGGAACATGCAATCAAGCAATCGTCACTCGCGATTAACCAATCGAGTTCTCAATCAATTCTCGCTCACGCAATTAAGCTAACGCAATCAATAACAAAATCACATATTCCCTAGCCTACGAGGATGAATTCATATTCTACTCATGAAAGATCATAATTTTACCCTAGAATGAATCCAATAAGTAAAGACAAGACAATACTACGAGATCTTGGACCTTCAACTAAGTCCCCGATTGGACCATAAACGAAGTCTTCAAGTCTCTAATGTCATATGAGACTCCTGCCATGAAGAAAGATTCCAACCTCAAGTCTTAAAGAGAGATACATTTTCCTTCGATAATGCAAGGGTACTCTAGTTTAGATTCTACCAAATCCGACTAAGACTCTTTTTTTTTTTTTTCAAGATATGCATAGATTTTATTTTCCTATAAACATTTGTTAATAAACATGGATTACAAAGATGCATGTTGTCCGTATGGATGAGGAATTACATTTTGTGCGTGCCAATAAGGTATTTAACCCAAGATTTGTAGAGAATCATTGAGCAAATTTTGGCACAAATAAAGAAAAAGGAATAACCCAAATTGAGTTAATTAATGTAATATCGAAAAAAAAAAATTGCTAAATTAAATCATCAGAGAATAAATGTCTGTTGGCACTATAAAAGTTGATATTCATTTTTTTGGCTTTGTGGAAGATTTTATATATTCTTCGTAAAAAAAAGTGGTTTTGGGGCATTCCAAGTTGTTGAGATTCGGTTTGCCAAAGAAGTTGCAGGAAGAATTATATGTGTAGAGTAGTGCGTTTTGGAATATCATATGTACTAACCTTACCTTTACCTTTCACCATTTTTCTTTTTTTTTTTTATTATTATTTTTTTTTTCGGCTTTAGGTACATACATTTTATTTTATTTTTAATCATATTTTATTTTTAATAGCAAAAAAAATATATAAAAACATTAAGATTTATTTTATAAACTATATTTGGTGTTACAGTTATTAGAAATTAATAGTTTATTACAAATGAAATCACGACATATTCAATTAATATATCATGAAAACTGTTACATCGATCGAGTATTTACAATTAACATGTAAAACAAATAAAAATTATCCACCTGAATATTTTATTCTTAATCCAATCAATAAGTTTGAATTAATATGTTATTTGTATTCTATTATATATATATATATATCTATATAATAGACCAATCTATATTACCACAAAGGAGAAAATTCGGATCGAAAATTATTTTCGGATGGAAAAATATTTTATCCGTATTTGGCATATATTAACTTTTCTTTCTTATCAAATTTCAAAAATAAAAATTTCACTACTTTTGTTTACTCAATGGTTAGTATTCATTATTATTTTGACAAGTGATTTAATTGATCATATTTTATCCTACATTTGTAGATATCAATTTCTTTAATTATGGTTACTAATCAAAAGCACTTAAAAAGATAAAAATAGTAATCTGGATTATTATGTTCAACTATAAAAAATATTTAATTATATCTCGTACATATGAGTATCAATGCAATCGGTTATCCTAAGAAGCCAACAGTTAGTTCCATAGTGGAGTCAACTTTCTATATCAAGTAAACCATATCATATTAATAAAATTATATTACTGTTATTTAAGTAATCAAAGAATATGGTAGATTTAATTGTTGTATATAGAATGTTGGCTTAACTATGGAGCCACTTGTTGGCTTCATAGTAAAATCGCCAATCGCAAGTTAAAAAAATTTCACAACTTAAATAATTTGTTTAAAAGTATCTAAAATACTATATATTGCTCCCGAGAATCATTTTTTCAAAATATCTCAAATGTTATTTTATATATATTATAATTGAAAAAGATGTCTTAAAGTACCTCAAAAATAGATTAACTACAATCACATAAACAAGACACATGCTTTAATTTTTACAATACAATTCAAATGGATATTTTTGCCATTTTGAATATATTACATACTCATATGCACATTGCCTCGAACAAAGGTTAAAAACACGATCTCTCGAACAACCACAAGCTCATAGCTCTGATAATCTGCAAAACATTGGATAGTAGTCCTGGAAAAAAACTTCTAACGCTCAAGTTAGTATATTTTTGCTCGTGAGAATGTAAGTTCAACGTGCATGTATGCAATATCTCAAGTAAAAAAATTTGGTACTTATATACTAAGGGTACATTGATGCCCAAGAGAGTCTTAGTTAAGAAATAGATTCTCCTACATCTACTTTTAGACATGGCCACGGGGCAACATGCCCGCCGACCCATCCCGGACCTGGCCCGGTCAAATCCGTTGACCACGGGTCCGGGCCGGCTCGGATTTCAATCGAGCCGATCCAGGGTTGGGATTTTTTCAACCATGACCCGGCGGGCCGGGCCGGCACGGAAAAAATGTATGATTTTCAAATGTTCTTTTTTTTTTTATTAGAGCAGGCCCAGACCCGGGCCGGACCCAGCACAGACCTAGGCCGTGCCGGTTTAGGTCCGTCAAACCCAACCCGTCAGCCCGCCGGGCCAGGCCCGACCCAGGATTTGGCCATGTCTATCTACTTTTATAACTTACCACGTCTTTAGAATCTGAAACTCCTTAGTAAGATACAATTTCATCCATGAAGGACTTTTCCAATATTACCACACGGCTCCTTTGTGCCTAGGTCGTAACCACGACCTCCATCTCTAGGACCTACAGGTCGTGATGTCCCTTCGAGTGTCCGAGCTCCTCAAGCTCTTGTATAATACTAGTAGTAGTAGTACAACACTGTGTACCACATGAGTTTCACGAGCGCACTGGGTTTGCTCGTGGGGACTTACCCATCCCTTACCTTGGAGTCCCCTTGTACAAAGGTCATCTTTCCCATCAGCTTTTCATTGACGTCCGTCAGAGGATGATTGACCGGATATCTGGCTGGTCACATAGACACCTATCCTTCGGAATCGTCTTGCTCTGATCAAGAGCACTCTTTGTGCCCTTCCTCTTCACCTTCTCGCGGTGCTTGACCCCCACCAGTCTACGATTCATGAGTTAGATCAGATCTTAGCCCGCTATTTTTGGAGCTATGGCGAGGGCTCGCGAGGTCGGCGGCAGACCCACTGGGTGAAGTGGGACTCCATCTGTCGTCCTCACTCTGAGGGTGGCTCGGGATTTGGCGTTTTTCTGATATGGTTACTGCGTTTTCCTACAGGGTGTGGTGGCGCCTTAGGGAGGGCAAGTCCCTTTGGGCCCAATACCTCCTGAGGAAATATTGCCCTGGTGGGGCTGCCCACCCCTGCAGGGTGACAGCCATTGCTCAGGACAGCCGACAGTGGAGACGGCTCACCATTGTTGGCAGGCGTGCACAGGAGCACATATTTTGGACTTTGGGTTCTGGGGAGGTTAGCTTCTGGGATGAGTGGTGGTTCGGTGAGGCCCCTCTCTCGAGTACTAGGCCTGTCACTCACCTGCCTTTCATGCAGGTGAAAGACCTTTGGTCGGGAGGGTATTGGGATAGAGATAAGATGGAGGATATTCTTGGTGAGGGTTGGGGCTTTAGTAGTCTAGAGATTGACCAGATCCGACAGATTCCCATTCTGGAGGGAGGTTTGGATGGCATGAGGTGGAGACTTACATCTTCGGGTACATTCTCTACGTCATCAGCCTGGGGAGATGTGAGGCTGGGAAACCGGCCAAACCGCCTCCTAGGGGCCATATGGACCGATCTTCTCACCCCGACCATTTCCGTTTTTTTGTGGCGCCTCCTATTACGGCGCATTCCTATTGACGCCGTGATGCAGGCGAGAGGGTTCTCTTTTCCCTCCCGATGCCATTGTTGTGCTGAGACCGGTACCTTTGAGATCGAGACTTTCACCCATCTTTTCTTTGAGAGTGAGACTGTGAGGATAGTGTGGGAGCACTATGCCGGATATACTCATATACCCCTACCACTACAGACAGTTTCTTTGAGCTCCTGAGTTTTTTCTCACACCGCACACACAGTAGACACGTGGGCTTCCTTATTCCTTGTCTGGTCCTTTGGGCCACCTGGACAGAGAGGAATAATGCGAAGCATAGGGATATTATATTTTCTTGTGCTCACATTATCTTGCAGGTTGACAGACACCTTTCTCTTCTCACCGCCCTGTGTAGACTCACGATGAGAGACTGGACAGGGTGTACTCCGCCTCACCGTTTGAGGCCACCACATCCTTTACCTGTCCAGCATCCACGACCCAGGCCCGTTGTTTGGCTGAAACCCAAGGCCCCTTGGGTTAAGCTAAACACTGATGGCGCTTTCGACAGACATACCGGAGCTGCTGGAGGAGGGCGCCTGATTAGGGACCATGATGGAGCACTCATCTCTGCCTTACATGGGCCACTCCGGGCCTCCTCGAGTTATGATGCAGAGATTCAGGCGCTTGTTTGTTATGTTTTTGTGCTTATTTTCATGTGTTTATTTGTGTTATTGAGTCGGTTTTAGGTTCGTTTTAGGTTCGACCGGTCCATTTTGTCGTTTTCCGTGTGTTTTTGTGTCTTTCGTTTCATTTTATATTTTGGCGTACTTGTCCATATTTTTGGTTTAATTTCAGGTTTGTTTTGAGGACGAATGAGGAAAGTCGAGACGAATACTTCAAAGTATATTCCGAGAGATTTCGAGTCATTTGCACGAACCATTTCGTACGAGTGTTCTGAGCCTTAGTCGATTCCGTGCCAAAAATTGCCCAACCGTGCCCCAGCACCTTGCACGCTCGCGAGTTCGCACGTACATCCACGCCATCGAGAGCCGCGCGTCCCTACGCATAGCACGCCGTGCGCTCACGGATCTAGCAGCGAGGTCGAGAGCTCTGCGCCCACTGCCCACACTCGCGAGCTCGCGTATCCATGCGCGACGTCGAGAAGTACCGCACGCAACTCAACCGTCCCAACTCGCGAGCTCGTAAAGCGCCCCGCGGCATCGCGAGTGCACCTTGCTGCCCACATCCGCGCCGCGAACTTCCATGCGCCGTCGAGAGTTCACCGAACAGCCTGCCCGCCCTCGCGAACTCGCGGAGATACCCGAGCCGTCGAGAGTCCCATGTGCCTGCGCGCCCATGCAAGCCATCACTCGCGTGCTCGCGAAATTCTTAGCTTGGTCGAGAGTGTCCCATTTTAATCTTCGTGTTTTAGTGTGTGTTTTGTGTGAACTATAAATATTTTTGTTCCTTTGTATTTTGAGGATCCAACTCTCATTTTCTAATTTTTCCACTTTGGGAAATCAGCTTTTATTTTATTTTGCTCTCTAGATTAGGAGCTTATGTTATTTTCCGGGAGATTTTCCGGCGACTTCGGTTTCGTTCAAGTTTCGAGCTTTTGACTCCGTTTTTCATCGTCTACGCAATGGGAGATTGAGTATTTAATTTTAAAGCTCTTTACTTCGTTTTTGCTCTGATTTTACTTATAATTTTCATTAGAGTAAATTGGATTTGATTGATGATGGTGGAAATGCTTGAACTTGATTGCTTGCTTGAGTAGATAGAGTCGTTAATTACTTGTTGATCTCGGTTAGACAACTAGGGTTAGCAATCTAATACTCGTAGCTCATTTATTCCGTATGTCGATTGATTATCATCCCGTATTGGTTATGGCATGAGACTCCGGTGATCTAGTTTGCGAATTGCTCATCTTTTGATCTTGCTTTCTATTAATTGTTCGTTTTTAAGTGTTCAAGTAGTGTTAATCAACCATCCAATCAATTGTTTAGAATGTTTAGGATTTTATTTTCGATTTTTGTGATTTGGACGATCATTTAGTAGACGAAGCTCCGAATAGCCTTCCTTCGAGATCGACCCGAGTCGGGTAGCTCGGTTACCCCTTGCACATCAAATCTATACCAAACAGCGCTCCAGATTGGTCTTGAGATTGCCGCCTCGATCTCCTCTCATGTCTGGATTGAGATGGATGCTGCGGCTGTTATCACACTTTTGACATCTTGCCACCAGGGCTCATGGCAGATACAGCATCCTCTTATGCGTATCAGAGACACCCTCCGCTCGATCCATTACCAGGTCTCACACATATTCCGAGAGGGGAATCGGCTCGCTGATCTTCTTGCTAGCACGGGGGCATCTTTACCCCAGAGACGCACCCTCCTACCTGAGGACATTCCCCTCCGGCTTCGGACGCTCATTCGGATGGACCAGTTAGAGTACCCATCCTTCAGATTCGGTCGACCGCCACCACCTGCCCCTGACTAGATTTGACATTTTGGACACCATGCTAGGTCACTCTTACCAGGTCGACCTTTATGAGGATTTGATTTTAGATCCATATCGGATATTTTTGGTGATCCTTGTATTTTTTATTTTATTTTTATTTTATTTTCTTCTTTTGATGTTGCTCTTTGTAGTCTCGACTTGGATGTAGA